CAATCAATCAATCAATCAATTGAAGAAAACAGAAAGTGAAAAGAAAAAAGAGCGCGAGGTTGTGTTTTGTCATGCGTGTGTGTTTTGTTTTAAAAGACCCCAGATTTTCTCTCTCATTCGTTCACATATCATCACAAGCCGTCCAGATTCTCAGAACCGACTGCCTGCCTAGACATCCGGTGGAAACCTTGGAGGACCACAGAATCGACTTAGGAAAGGAGGCCTTTCAACTGTTTCGAGGTCCCCTACCTCCTGACAAACTTCGTGCTTGTTGCAGATAGTGCACCGACCCATCCCCCAGCCCAATCTTCCCACTCTGTCCCTTCCCTCCCCCCTTCCCCCACAGCCCTCTCTGGTTCCCCAGTCACCCCCCCTGCACCCCAACATTCCCATCATCACGGGTCGATCACAGTCTAATGAGGCGAGCACAGAAGTCTATGAAGATACGACACCAGGAGCTACGTAACAGCAGGGTTGGGAAGAAGGGACTGCAGGAGTTATGTAACAGCAGGTTTGGGAAGAAGGGACTGCGTTCACAATAATATCAACATTGCATCGACTTGGGAAAGGAGGCCTTTCAACTATTTCGAGGTCCCCTACCTCCCGACAAACTGCGTGCTTGTTGCAGATAGTGCACCGACCCATCCCCCAGCCCAATCTTCCCACTGTCCCATCCCTCCCCCCTTCCCCCACTGCGCTCTCTGGTTCCCCAGTCACCCCCCCTGCACCCCAACATTCCCATCATCACGGGTCGATCACACTCTAATGAGGCGAGCACAGAAGTCTACGAAGATACGACACCAGGAGCTACGTAACAGCAGGGTTGGGAAGACGGGACTGCAGGAGCTATGTAACAGCAGGGTTGGGAAGAAGGGACTGCGTTCACAATAATATCAACATTGCGACCACATGGCTTCCAGGGTTCCGAGAAGGTTTTTGGCTATAGGTAGCCAGGGCTATCATAACACAGCCACGTAACAACAGGGTTCCCAAGAAGGGACTGCGATCACAACATTGTCAACATTGCGACTACATGATTTCCGGGGTTCCGGGAAGGCCTTTGGCTGAATGTAAGAACTGTGTAGCTATGGGTCAGTCATCTGGGGCTCATGAGAGAGGTCTTGGCATTGTCTTGTTTTGCATAGTTAGCGACCTGCTAAATCAGGCAGCATAACATTGTAAACATTGGCTCCTTGTCTTTCATGTTAAGGGGCGCTGGACCCGGTTTCCAGCAGGTGCAGCTCCCCACCAATGGAATGGATCCACTCGCGAACAGGGTGCGTGGAGGGGGTGTCTGCTCTTATCAGCACCTCCCACATGCTCGTCCGCGATGTTTCAAAAAAAAAAAAAAAAAAAGATTCTTGCCGTGGGGCTCACAGAAGTGGATATGGTATTAGCACTGTAGAACAGATCTACTTTATCCTCTTTAGCCCTGTGATCTGTCTGAACAAGGATAACGAGGTCGAGCAACATCCGAGATGGTGCCCTTAAGTGTCCACAGTGACTTTTTCGCAAGCCTGAGCAACAGCCTTCTTCTAGCTAATCTGGCAAAAAAATTAGAGCTTGCTGTTGGTTGGCGGTTTACTGCGAAGCTAGCCAGTCACTCTCCTGCCAAAGCTTGAAGAACTACATTGCGTCCTGTAGATATTTGATGCATGCTGTCATAAGCAGACAACATCAGTGATATGACCAACCGCAGAGGTACTCGGATCTCAGCACCTGTGGCGCCCCACCAGATTGGCGCAGTTCTGATGAAAAAGGAAAAAATAGGTAAGGTATCCCTCCATGCATCAGGGCCTGGTGGATGCGTCGAAACTGGACACGGATGCGTGAGAAGTCCTCTTCTACCTGCTCACTGACCACCACCTTGCTGCTTGAATTCTTTTTCTCCCTTGAAGTCATAGTCAGCACTGTGCAAGGAAAATGAGCGATAGCGAACTTCAGAAATCAAACAGCATCATACACATGAGACCAGATAAGAGCAGAATTGCATCACGAGTTTCACCAAATAAGAGCA